GGAAGGGTTGGGGGCGGGTTTAAAGACACAACTTGCAAGACATAAAAGGACAGCACATCCGAAAATACATACTATCAGAATGGCACCTCGGTTAACTAACTTACATCGAATGCATCGTCGCTGCTGACTGATGACGGAGTGGTCGGGTTGCCCGCAACGTCCTTACGGACGTTCTCCATTCGGACCAGGGGGTCAGAAGGGTCTCGAAGGGCGCCCACGTCTGAGCTCGTCCCGGCGACTCCCGCTGAAAGCTGTCGCTGCATCGACTCCAACTGAATTTTCAGACTATCGCGCTCAGCCTCCACCGCCTTGATCCTGGCCCTTGCCTCCTTTAGCTGCGCGTTCAGAGTGGAGACCGTGTTCTGCAGGTCATGCAATTGCGCCTCCAACTGTCGTGCTTCCCTGAAATGGTGCGCACCAGCAACTACGGGACAAGCCCCGGGAATAACACGTATCGAGAAAGGCAGACAACAAGCAAGTGGAAAGAACAATTAGACAGTCATCCAGCTGACGTTATGAACAACGGAGCTCAGCTCATAGGCATAAAATGCATAACACATTGGCGAGAGGAGAGGGCGAGTGGGGGGCCGGGGGGGGGAAACGTAGGATGGAGTTGAGTAACAATTCAAGAACTGGCACCGTAGCTATGAGCGTGTTGTGTTTGCTTACCTTGCGACCGTTCACGCCTAGCGGGTGCTGCCGGGTTATTAGGCTGCGAGGTGTGCGGTGCCAGCTCCATCTAGCGAGCCTCCGCAAAGCGCACATCTGCCGCTCGAACCGCCGCAGCGCGGTCCTCCACCGCGCGAACCTCCGCAGCCCGAATCTCTGCCGCTCGAATCTCCGCCGCCCGAATCTCCGCCGCCCGAAGCTCCGCCGCCCAAAGCTCCGCCGCCCGAAGCTCCACCGCCCGAACCTCCGCCGCCCGAACCTCCGCCGCGCACACTTCCGCAGCGCGCAACTCATCGTCGTTTCCCGCTTGGACGCCGTCAGCATCGTCTGCATCGTCGTCGTTCCCGTCTTCGTCGTCGCTACCAGCTTTGATGCCGTACGCGATGAAGGGATCCACGCCGCCCTCCTCTGCGGCCTCAATCACTGCTACCATCATCAGACCCGGGGCTCCGGCGGCGCACAGGGGGTGCAGGGAGAGCTCCAGTATCTGCGTCTGACGCGATACTGCAGACTATGCCGCCTGTGGTTGGTGCGCCGTTTTGCGTGGTGTCCATTGAATCAACCACCGGTGCAGAATTTGCGCCTTCTGCTTCTGACGAAGTGCCGGCGGTAGGGTTGTCAGCGGATTGCGAGCCTTCAGGAATGTTGCCATTCGCACCAGAGGATCGACCACGCGCACCAGAGCCGGCGGCAGCACGTTTCCTCTTAGACCCGCCCCGACGGCCTGCAGCTGCCATCTTACCAACCGTGGGAGCGCCGTGGAGAGTGTTGACTGCAGCTGTTTTTAAGGCAGCCTCTTTAGCTAGCTGCCGCCTCTTAATCTCTTCTCTGAGAATGTCATCTCCCAGTTGTGACAGTGCAGAGGCATCGAGCAGATTGAGAGCAGAATGAGGGTGGGGCAAGGTGACCCCTGCTGGATCTGGCAAAACTCTTTTCTCGGTGCCCGCCCACACTAACTGTCCCCCATTCTGAGCCATAGGTTTGAGGATAGTGATGGTTGACGACCAGTTAAACTTACCAAATGGGGAAAATGTCATGACGCAACCAGCCATGAGCTTTTTTTTCGCACGGCTTAATATCTGAAATTTTTAGCGACACAGTGAATGTTTGCGACTTCTCAACCCCATATGTCCATTGTTTCCCATGCCTTTCCCCGGAAAATGTTACTGTGAACTTTGATTCGGCGAACGAGGAAGCAAGGTAACATGCATATATGTGGATTAACGTGCCTAAATTAAAAAACACACCCATAAACTAAGCTATGAAACTATGATATTTCAAACTGTAGTGACCTAGCGCGGCGTGAACGAAAAAGAGTGTTGAAATCACAGTTGCACGTCAAACACGAACTTGTTTGATATTTACTCGAAAGCAAATGGAACAACCACGGTCGCGGTCAAGCGGTTAGTTTACAACTAAAATTTTCCATCTCGTGCAAGCACCACTTCGAAAGGTGCAGGTGAGACAAACGTCGCCACCGCGCAGACCTCGACTCAAACGGAGCTGATGTCACGCGTGTGCAGCGCGCAGTGTGGCACGTAGCTGGAGAAAATGCCTGAATGTGTCTTGTTTTCGACTATCGTGCTGCCAACACGACTGTTATTGCCGTAGAATGAACCAATCGAAAGTTGCCACCATCTGTGTTGGAAACTGGAAGATTTCGACCGACTAGTGCGACACCGCCATCCACATTCAGGTGCACCCCACAGTGCGCAACGCGAGGCAGTTATCCTTGTCTGACGGTGTCACGTGTGGCAGCTGCCATTGCATCGATGGTGACTTAATAACGAGGAAGTGGGACAAAGTATGCTGTCTGGTACAGACTCCAAACGAATTGGGAACGTAATATAAAATACAGATTGAAGTATTTGACTCTTAAAAGGCTAAGGCAACCTAGATGGCTTTGTTTGCCTGCCAGGCCACTTAAATATACTACCCAGTATGAAGTTTTCACCATGCAAACCTATTAACGAACCACTTTTCAGCGTCTTTGTCCGGTCGTACTAACTGTACCGCGCGCTTGATGCTATCAATACTGATTACTCGGTACCTCTGATTAACTCCCTCCCAGTGCAATACCTTGCACTTGGTGGCTGCATCAACGCTGGCCTGTTCCCTGTAGTACTTGAAGAATGCATAGTTTTTAGCCGTGCCCGCAACCTTGGCATGAAACAACAGAAGGGCTTTCGCAAACCACTCCTCATCCCTATCTGAGCCCTCACCTTTGACCTCCACATCAGAAAACCATTGACGACTGTGGTGCATGGGCAGGGCGCAGATGTGGTGCGGCAGGCGACGATACTGCGCATCAACCGCAGCTGGCATGGCGAGTTCCCAGTGGACCTGCAAAGGCACCGTCAACAAGAAGAGTCAGATTGTTTGGGTACCGTTACAAAAGCTACGACGGGGCAGGACTGGACGTCGTGCATACATGTACTTCCTTGATAGCTTCCCCATTGCCATCACAGCCAGGTGCCCTATCCAATGCCGCACGCAAGTGTTTGAACTCCTCGCCGATGTTTCAACGCTCGCCTGTCCGTTGGGCCTGCACGCATGGAACACCACCATCATCTTGTTACGTGTATTCCATGCTCGATGGAAATAATCAAGAACCATACACATAAGTCTAGTTCTTACCTTCATCATGGCGGTGTCATACTTCTTCTTCGCCATGAGTTGTGGTGCGATATTCTGAAGACGAAGCCGTGCCTCTTTGCTGCCGACGATTTGGCTATTGACTGACCGTTCATTCGATGCCCAATAAGGGTTTTTTATGTACTCTATATGCAGATGCTCGTATAGTTGTGCAGAATAATGCTCGGGCAAGCCCGACCTACGAATGGAGTCTATGTAGTGACTGATGAGGTGCATCTTAATGAAGTTCCAATCCGACCTGTGCGGGAATGCGGTCTTGAGGTTGTGTAACATCCTGCGTATAGGCCAAAACATGTCGATCAATATTTAGCAAGCAGTCGGAGAATGAACGCAACACACTGTGAACTATACTACTCACCGGTGTGCCTTTGTCTTGAACTCAAGGAGGGAGGTGTCGATGTGTTCCGATGCCCACGCGCACTCGAGGTACCACTCGATGTATGAGACGAGTGCATCCATCTCCGGCTGCGTAATAAAACCCTTCACGATGAAGGGCAGAATCTGCATGACTGATCGGTGTTCGTATTGTTAGATTTATATGACATAACTATTGTAGGCTATAGTGGGGTAGCACATATGGGGTACAGCTTTCCTAGGGTTTGCATTTGTACCCAACTTTCACTTAGTCATTCTCATTTCTCGTTCTAAGTTTCTCATGGTATAGAGCAGGTTCCCTCGTGGGAACTGTGCCTAGGGCCCACCACATCGAAAAAAAAAAAATTCCTGCCCAGAGCGCGCTCCCCGAGTCGCGCTCCCCTCTCTACCTTCGTCGAGCCGCCCTAGCGGCCTCCCTTGCGGCCCCGCCGTCCTCACTTGCGGCCCCGTCGCCGCCCTCACCTGCGGCCCGTCGCCGCCCTCCCTTGCGGCCCCGCCGCCCTCACTTGCGGCCCCGCCACCCTCTGTTGCGGCCCTGCCGCCCTCACCTGTGGCCCCGTCGCCGCCCTCAACTGCGGCCCCGTCGCCGCCCACCCCTGCGGCCCGACGCCGCCCTCACTTGCGGCCTCGACGCCGCCCTCATCTGCAGCCCCGTCGCCGCCCTCACCTGCGGCCCGTCGCCGCCCTCACCTGCGGCCCCGACGCCGCCCTCAGCTGCGGCCCCGTCGCCGCCCTCACATGCTGCCCCGCCCCCCTCACTTGCAGCTCCGCCGCCCTCAGTTGCGGCCCCGCCGCCCTCACCTACGCCCCCCCGCCGCCCTCAGTTGCGGCCCCGCCGGCCTCACCTGCGGCCCCGCCGCCCTCAATTGCGGCCCTCCGCCCTCACCTGCGGCCCCGCCGCCCTCAGTTGCAGCCCCACCGCCCTCACCTGCGGCCCCGCCGCCCTCACTTGCGGCCCCGCCGCCCTCAATTGCGGCCCCGCCGCCTTCAGCTAGTGCATCACCGCCCACCGCCCGAGCCGCCCGAGCCGCCTCTCCCAGCCGAGCCGCCGACCGCCGCGCCGCCCTACAGCAGCACAACCGAGCCACCCCGCAGCAGAGCAGCCGAGCCGCCGAGCCGCCCGGTCGCCCTGCAGCCGAGCCGCCCAGCCGCCGTGCAGCCGAGCCGCACAGAAGTCGAGCCACCGTACCGCCCAGCCGCTCTTCCGCCGAGCCGCCCGTGCAGCACTCTCCGGTGAGCACAGCACCTCTGTCACTGCACTGCCCTTTCCCTACTACTTGCACTGCTGGTCTACTGTTGTCATGGCTACCCCTAGTGTCCTCACTTTTGACGCTGAGGGTCGAGCCATTGACTTTGAGGTCTGGGTCGACGACCTCCTGCTGTTCTTAGAGTGCGATAGGGCAGACGGTCTCTCTCTCTTTGACCTCACCTCTGGCGCCTCTCCTGCCCCTGCTGCTGATGCTGACGCTACTGTTCGCTCTCAGTGGGCCACACGCGATGCTGCTGCACGTCTTGTTGTGCGTCGCCACCTGCCTACCACTGAGCGCGCGCACTTTAGCCAGTACAAGAGTGCTCAGACCTTGTACGACGCTGTAGTTGCGCGCTACTCTTCCCCTGCCACTGCTGCACTGAGCCGCCTCATGCTACCGTACCTCTTCCCTGACCTTACTGCCTTTCCCACAGTCGCTGACTTCATTACGCACCTCCGCACTAGTGACACTTGCTACCGCGCTGCGGACCTGCTGAGTTCTGCGCCAAGAACCCCCCCCCCATGTACATCACCCTCTACTACATAGTCACCCGCCTCCCTGACTCCCTTCGTGTAGTCAGGGACCACTTCCTCTCAGTCTGTCCCACCACTCTCACTGTTGACCTCCTAGAGAAGGCCCTCCTAGCAGCGGAGGAGAGCATAGTCGCTGTAGGAGCCTCTCGTGGTCACCCTCGCACCCCCATCTTTGAGGGGTGTTCCCCTTCCCCCCTTTTGCCCTCTGTCGCCTCTGCTGCTGCGGCCGACCTCGTTGGTCTTGATTCGGTCGGTGCAGCGTCTGCACCTAGCGGGAGACGCCGCTCTGGCAAGGGCAAGGGGGGCAAGGGCGCGGGTGGAGCTAGCGGGGGTGGTGGAGGTGGCGGTGGAGGCGGCGGAGGGAGTGGGGGTGGCGGTGGGAGTGGTGGCGGGGGTGGAGGTGTTGGTGGCAGCAGTGGAGGCGGAGGCGGCGGAGGCGGTAGCGGTGGGAGCGGAGGCGGCGGTGGTGGCGGAGGTGGAGGGGGCAGCGGTGGAGGAGGTGGAGCTGGTCGGGGTGGCGCTTCGCAGCGGAGCGGCTCCGGTGGTGGTCCGCGCCAGCAGCAGCAGCGGTCTCGGGACATCTCCCCCCCTTAGCAACTCCGTGAGTGGTACGCGCAGCGTCAGCGTGGTGGGGGTTTTGGTCCGTGCACCTACGTCCTTCGCACCGGCGACCGCGCAGGTGAGCAGTGTGGGGGTGCCCACCCCACCCAGCGCTCCTTTGGCCGCCTGACGGACGCTTGGCGTCAGAAGTTCCCGGAGGCTGGTGAGATCCCCCGCTGGGGAGAGCTGTCTAGGGCAGATGTAGCCATCTATGATCTTGACTTTGATGCTATCCTTGCTGCAATGTATGCTGTGACTATTAGTGATGAGGGCGACTGTGACCGGTGTTTCCCGCCCGATCCAGGCATTGAGACTGCTGCTCTAGGTACTGGTGAGGCTTCTGCTCTAGATGCCAGTGAGGCTGCTGCTCTAGGTGCCAGTGCGTCTGCGTCCTCAGGTACTTGTGAGTCTGCGCTCTCAGGTACCGCGTCAGCTTCGGCCTCCCTCACCTTCACACTTGACTCAGGGGCTTCTCGCTCCTTCTTTCGAGACCACAACACACTCACGCCACTTGGTCGGCCGGTTGCAGTCTCCCTGGCAGACCCCTCTGGAGGCCCTGTCCTCTCTCACTTCTCCACTGTCCTCCCGTGTTTGGCTGCCCCCTTTGGCACCTTGTCTGGTCTGTACCTCCCCTCGTTCTTTACGAACTTGGTGACTGGTGCTGACCTACATGATGCGGGAGTTCACCAGTTTACTCCTGCGAGTCAGCGGGTGACCCACTGCTCGGACGCTCGCACAGGCAGGCACCTTGCCCCGTTTACACGTCGGCCGGGGTCGAGCCTCTACACCCTGACCACTGAGTCTCCTCCTGTCCCTGCGTCTGGCCAGGTAGCTGTGCCAGGTCAGGTGTTTGCTGCAGCGTCAAGGTCTGGTCCTGAGTCTGCCCCCTGCTCGTGTCGCCTCCTGTCTCACGAGACACTCTTGTGGCACCACCGCCTTGGTCACCCCTCCCTGCCTCGTCTCCGAGGCATGGCTTCCCGTGTCCTTGTCTCTGGTCTTCCCCGGTCCCTCCCTCCCCTTCCTCCGGGGTCTGGTCCTTCCTGCGTTCCCTGTGTCGAGGGGCGGCTACGGGCTGCCCCACACTCCTCTCAGTTTCCCCCGACGGAGGCCCCGCTGCAGACGCTTCACATGGACGTGTGGGGCCCAGCCCGCGTCCGTGGACAGGGTCACGAGCGCTACTTCCTGCTGGTGGTTGACGACTACTCGCGTTACACCACAGTCTTCCCCTTGCGCAGCAAGGGTGATGTCACTGAGGTGTTGATCAATTGGATCCGCGCAGCTCGTCTCCAGCTCAGGAGAAGCTTCGGCTCGGACTTTCCTGTTCTGCGTCTGCACTATGACCGAGGCGGAGAGTTCTCTTCTGGCCTTGTGCGAGCCTACATCCGTGCGCGAGGCATCCGCCAGACCTTTACGCTTCCGGACTCTCCACAGCAAAATGGGATTGCTGAGCGCCGCATTGGCATGGTCATGGACGTCGCTCGTACATCCATGATGCATGCGGCTGCCCCCCATTTTCTGTTGCCGTTTGCGGTTCGGTACGCGGCGCATCAGATCAACCTTCTCCCCAGGGTCTCCATGCTGGAGACCTCCCCAACTCTGCTGTGGACGGGGAAGGTAGGCGATGCGCCTGCGTTCCCTGTCTGGGGATCTCGGGCGTTTGTCCGCGACTTGTCTGCGGACAAGCTGTCCCCTCGTGCTGCTCCTTGTGTCTTCCTTGGCTCCCCCCTTGACGCACCAGGGTGGCACTTCTACCACCCCTCCTCTCGTCGTGTTCTGTCCTCCCAGGACGTCACGTTTGACGAGTCGGTCCCCTACTACCGTCTCTTCCCCTACCGCACTCCTGCCCCTTCAGGTGTGTCCCAGGTAGACGCAGTCGAGCCGGTCGAGGCTGCTGGTGACTCTGGTACTGCTGCGGGTGCTGAGCCTGAGGGTGTTGACTCTAGGGGTGCTGCGCGAGTGGGTGCTGAGCCTGGGGGTACTGAGCCTGGGGGTGCTGTGACTGGGGGTGCTGAGCCTGGGGGTGCTGAGAGTGGGGGTGCTGAGCCTGGGGGTGCTGAGCCTGGGGGTTCTACGTCGGGAGCTGCTGAGCCTGGGGGTGCCACGTCTGGAGCTGCTGAGCCTGGGGGTGCGGAGCCAGCGGCCGCTGGACGTGCTAGTGTGTCGTCTGGTGGTGCTGGGCCTGGAGGTTCTCCGGGTGCTTCGTCTCGGCGGGAACTACTCTCTCCACAGGAGCTGCGTGAGTGGTTTGCCCGGCGCTGGAGGCGTACTACTAGAGCTGCTGTACCTGCGAGTGCGACTGGAGGCGGAGCTGCTGCGGGTGTTGGCGCTGAGACTACTGCTGTCAGTCCTGGCGGCGGTCCTGCTTCGGGTGCTGCTGGTGCTGCTGGAGGTACTGGAGCTGGAGGTGCTGTTGGCGCTAGTGCTGCCTCTGGGGGTGCTGGTGCTGTCCCTGTTGTGTGTGGAGTCGCCGCGCGGCCTCGGTTGTACTTTGTTCCGCTCCTTCAGCAGGTTCTTGGTCTTCCTCCTCCCTTAGAGTGTCCACCGCCTGTCCAGTCAGAGTCACCGTTACCGCCGGCCTCCCCACTGCATGCTCCCTCTCCCTACACTGGTCCTACTGGAGGTCTTGCTGAGCGTCGTGAGCCTGCGTCTCGTCCTGCGTCGCCTGTTTGTGCTGCTCGCGCTAGTGGTCGCGGTTCGCGTCAGCGTCCTCCTCCTGTCCCTGGCACGGACCGGATGTCTCTGCGTCCGTCCACTGCTCCTCTACGTGTCCCTTTGCCTTCTCCTCCTGAGTCCTCTCTTCCTGCACTTGCCGACCCGGAGTCGGACTCTCTTCGTGCTGCCAGTCCTACTGTCACGCGTCTCCTTGCTACCGTTGTCATTGACCCCTCTTTTGAGTCCACTGCTGCGTCTGCTCTTGTTGCTGAGCTCGTCGACTTTGCTGCTCGCTGTCGTCTAGACTACGCTGCTAGTCTTGTTGCTGAGTCTGCGTCTGTCTGTCCTCCGTCCGTCGGGGGTGACTGTGCTCTTGGCACGGACGTCCTTGAGGACAGGCAGGAGGAGTTCCAGTGTCTGGCTGCTGCTTCACCTCATCTCGTGTCCGTACTGCTTACCCCTGAGGGAGACCCAGATGCACTTGACATCCTGACTCCGCGCTCTTACGCGGAGGCCGTAGAGGGTCCCTACTCCTCTCAGTGGCAGGCAGCTATGGATGCAGAGATGGCTTCCTGGAAGTTCACAGGCACCTACGTTGACGCAGTTTCCCCTCTTGGGGCGAACATCGTCAGTGGCATGTGGATCTTCAGGGTGAAGCGGCCGCCAGGTTCTCCACCTGTCTTCAAGGCGCGGTACGTGGCTCGTGGCTTTAGTCAGCGGCAGGGAGTTGACTACTTTCAGACCTTCTCTCCCACTCGAAGATGACCAATCTTCGGTTGCTGCTGCACATAGCCGCGCAGTGTGACTACGAGCTTCACTCCATTGACTTCAGCACTGCTTTCTTGCAGGGTAGCCTGCACGAGGAGATCTGGCTGCGTCGTCCACCTAGCTTCACTGGGACTTTCCCTCCTGGCACCCAGTGGAGCCTCCGACGGCCAGTCTACGGTCTCCGCCAGGCACCGCGCGAGTGGCACGACACATTGAGGACTACGCTTGCGGCTCTTGGGTTTGCTCCCTCTACTGCTGACCCGTCGCTGTTTCTATGCACCGGCACCTCTCTGCCGCCGTTCTACATCTTTGTGTACGTCGACGACTTGGACTTTGCCACTGCTGACACTGTTGGACTCGCCCACGTGAAGTCCGAGCTGCAGAAGAGACACACGTGCACGGACCTGGGTGAACTGCGCAGCTACCTTGGCTTGCAGATCACCCGGGACAGAGCACGCCGCACCATTACCCTGACTCAGTCACACATGGTGCAGCAGGTCCTTCAGCGCTTTGGCTTCACGTACTCCTCGCCTGAGGCCACTCCTATGCCTACTCGCCACTCGCTCTCAGCTCTACCTTCGGATGAGTCCGTAGAGTCGAGTGGCCCGTACCCAGAGCTTGTTGGCTGCCTCATGTACCTGATAACCTGCACACGACCTGACCTTGCATACCCTCTTAGCATTCTTGCACGCTATGTTGCTCCTGGGAGACACAGACCAGAGCACATGGCTGCAGCGAAGAGGGTGTTGCGCTACTTGTGCAGTACGTCGGGCATGGGGCTAGTGCTTGGAGGGCAGAGTCCAGTGGTCCTCACTGGGCACGCAGACGCTTCTTGGGCTGACGACCAGGCTACACAGCGGTCGTCACAGGGTTACGCCTTCAGCCTTGGTTCCGGCTCTGTTTCGTGGCGGGCTACTCGCTCGTCTTCTGTTCTCGGCTCCAGTTGTGAGGCTGAGATCTATGCCGGAGCCATGGCTGCTGAGGAGCTTTACTTGCTCACCTACCTGCTTACTAACCTCGGAGAGCCGCCTCGTTCTCCTCCAGTGCTGTACGTAGACAACAAGGCCATGCTGGCCTTGTGTCGGGAGCAGCGCCTGGAGCACAGAACGAAGCACATTGCTCTCCGCTACTTTCTTGCTCGTGAGCTGCAGCAGCGTGGTCAGTTGCGACTTGCGTACGTGGCCTCTGAGGCCAACACTGCTGATATCTTCAGTAAGGCACTTGCGCCTTGTGATCATCAGCGCTTCTGTACTTAGCTTGGTGTTGTGCCTGTCTTGCCTCACTTGCTCACTTCTTGACCTTGCTTGTACTGTCACATATATATACTCCTGCTCATGCTTTTTTAGCCTTTTTTATATATATGTGTGCTCCTGCATGTGAACTGGCCGTTTGGCCTTCAACTTGAGCTCAGAATGTGTGGTGACTTTGTGATCCACCTTGAGCTTTGCTTTGCTTTGCTTGACTGGTCTTGTGACCCCTTGTTCTCCCCCACTTTGCCCATGGGGGTGTGTCAGATTTGTATGACATAGCTGTTGTAGGCTATAGTGGGGTAGCACATATGGGGTACAGCTTTCTAGGGTTGTATTTGTACCCAACTTTCACTTGGTCATTTCATTCTCGTTCTAACTTTCTCATGAAAGTGGAGGTGTACTGACACCACCCAATCAGAAACGTCTGGGTGCACGGTTGCCAGTGGGTACAATTACAACTTATGGTCACGTGTGAGAAGAGTGACGCTTTCAAAATTGGCGCGAATCTGATCATCCTGACAGCTGCACCCTCAACTCTTGCTCGAATGCCACGATTTGAGGAACTCCCTAAAGCACGGGCTGGCAGTTTACCGTATCGCCCCGGATATAACCGCAGGCCTGTGTTAAGCACATGCGCTTCTATCTGGAGCAATGCGCTTATGGCCGATCCTCAATTAGAAGCGCACCCTCTAAAATAACCTTACTTATTATAAGCGCACCTTCTTGTATAGACAAGAATGTTGTTTTTTTCATTTTCTTTACAACTTTCGTACAAACTACATTACTCTAGCTAAAATAATCAACTAAAACTTTCCAGTCAAATACATTAGACTAGCATCCTAGCCTACACAACATTTTTAAGTTTAGTCTAGCCTAAGGCCTACTCCTCATTCGACTCAGGCTCCGTGGAGTTGTTGCCAAAGAACCCGTCTGCTTGGATGTCGTCATCAACCTCTACCTCGTGGGATAGCTGACCTCTCCAGTGCGCTAGCACCAGTCCGTCTTCACTCCCGTCAAGGGCATTGCTGATGCCGGAGGTGAGGAACGCTCTCTTAATCAGGTCGGCGGGCACAGCTTTCCACGCCCGTGAAATCCACTTGAGCACCACCTCCGGAGATGGTTTTTTAATGTTCCCTGCACCACATACACGGGGGTGGGAAACACGTGGGTCCACAAGTAGGCAGACATACAGACAAAGCGGTCACGGGAGAACATTTTTGCGTACCTGCGGGTGTCAGGATGTTCATGCCGTCCTGCTCGAACCAGGTCTGGTACTGCTGCCGAACACTCGCCTTGAAGCTTTTGTTGACCGACACATCAAGCGGCTGCAAGTCTGCCGTGCATCCCGCTGGGATGACCGCCGGCACGATGTTGAGTTCCGCGAACTTCGCCTTGACTTTGGGTGTCAGGTGTCCACGATAGGAGTCGAGCACTAGCATGGCGCTCCGGCTCTGCAATCCGAACTTCGGTTTCAGGAACGGCACCACGCCTGCACCGAGCCACTCGATTACGCCCGAGGCCTCCATCCACCCGTTAGCTTGGCAACCGACCACGACATCTGCATACAAGCAAGCGGTGGTTAGATTTTACTTTTGTTTTTCCCCTCGGAAACAAGCGCATACGCAGTTTCTTACCGTTTGGAGAGTCACCCTTTGGGAGGGTCTTGCGCTTGAAAAACACCCACGGCTTCAACTTCTCGCCCGTCGCCGTGCACGCCAGCATCACAGTGACTCTCTCTTTCTGGTAACCACCACTGCGGATGGGCACCGACTTCACGCCCGTCTGCTCCACCGTGGTAGTCGCCGGCATCTCCAGCCACAAAGGCGTCTGGTTGGCATTGATGATGTAACGATTGTCGATGTCGTAGTCGTGGCGTGCGTCGCGGACAAACTGCCGAAATTCCTTGCACTGCTTGGCCACGTCTTCGCACGGGGAGGGAGGAACGGTTACAAGGGCGGATGAGCACCGTGCAGATAAACAAACATGGGCAAGAAAGTACTGAAATGCAAGATACAATTTCACGATAGGATGACAGTGCACAAACAGGCACTTACGCTGCTGTGTCTTTTGCGCCACCTTTTTTTTCATGCGCACGGTGAGATTCCACCGCTTGCGGAACCGCTCCGTCCAGCGCTGACTCGCCTTCCACTTGACGTCCGGGAACAACACCTTCATCACCTCTTTTGACCACTCTTGCAGCCGGCCGACTGATACTGCCACACCGCGGCGTCGCCAGTCCAGGAGTTGGGCGTACACCTTCATCTCCATGGGTCTGTACCAGGAAGACCTTCCGCGCCCATGAAGTCGACACCGAGCACTATGTGCAGCCTTGAGCTCCTCCGCTTGGTTTTTCCACTCTGTGAGGCATTTGCTGTGTATGCCGGACTCCCGCGCGACCTCGCTTACCGATGCAGCAAGCTCCAGCCGAACAAGCCACTTCAGTTTCTCCTGGGCGGTGTAGCGCTGCCGTTTGTGTTGAGTCGGCTTGTGCCTGGGAGAGGGTGGGCGGGCATCTCGGTTCTCAGAGGAAGGGTGGGGTCGTTTTTTGTTAATCGACGGATACGTTGGTATCGGCATCTTCTCGCGTGGTGCATCACGCCACCAAGACTCCACACCGATGTCGTCCGCGTCTGTAGGTTCACGATCTGGGAACACGTCCTCCTCGGCGCCCTCTTCACCGTCGACTCCACCGTCGCCTCCAGCATCGCCGTCGAATGTGGGTTGTTTATCAGCGGCCACGTCATCGTCGGCGCCCACAGCCGACTCGTCCGACGTGCAGGCTTCAAGATTTCCCCACCGAGGTGCAGTCGGCGGACCATTGATTTGCCTAGCCTTGGGTGTGTCCAGTTCAGACAACCACTCGTCGAAAGTGGCAGGTAAATATAACTGGAGCACGGGCCGATGCTGACCCCACGCGTCAGGATCAGGAGGAGTCGGAGGATTCGGAGGAGCGGGAGGAGCAGGAGGAGCAGGAGGTGCAGGAGGAGCAGGCGGAGCAGGCGGTGCAGGGGGTGTAGGTGGCACTGGAAGCGCTAGTGGCTCACGTGTATACCACCCGTCCGAGGTTAGTCGCCAGGCGCGGGTTGGTTTCTTCTTGAAAAGGAGGTGCGTCCCACTGAATTCCACCATGGCTTTGCCAGCCAGGCGGGCTAGACTAGAAACTGAATGAAAAAACTGAGTAGGAGGGTGCAGAAATGGGCAACGATGGGGACCCCTGCGGGCTAGCGGCTCGGGGTCCTCGTCAATGACAGGCAGGAAACCCCCGCCTACCCCCGTACAGGAACCTGCGTGGCAGCATATTCGCTGCGCTGGCAGGGAATCTTCCCCACCCTTCGAGAGGGTTCGGAAGAAATGCAGATGCCACGCAGCGCATGCGGCTGTGATAGGGCCGCACCGCAACATCCTCGTCACTCCTGTCACGTTCGATGGTTCTATACAACTTTATGCGGTGGGAAACCGAACCGCAGCTGTTTTTGCCTGAAAACCATGCACGATCCCACTTGTTCCATGGTCCGTTGGATTCGCCTTATTGCGGGCTTCAGTTTAGTATGTTTAAAAGTGAAAATCATTTTTTCCTTATTATAGGCGCATGCGCTTATACAGACACCTCAATTAGAAGCGCACCCCCCCAAAAAACGCTGTTTTATTATAAGCGCACCTGCGCTTTTATCCGGGGTAATACGGTATAAGCATCGACACTGCCAATATTAAAATCGCAGTAACCAATTAAACATGTGAGTGGAATAATACCAACCAGTAAAACAAAATACAATATACCCAACAATTAAACGAAGATAAATACAATATATTACCCAGTAATACGATGTAACAGAATAATTAAAAAAGATACCACAGGAAAAAATTGGAATGACCGATTACAAATATCAGAACATATAGCTTTTGCATATTGTGTAGGCTATAGTGGGGTAGCCCATGAGGGGTACAACCCAATTAGGGTTAGTACTTGTACCCAACTCTTTCATAGTTCATTCATTCTTGCTCAACTTTTCTCATGGTATCGAGCAGGTTCCCCTGTGGGAACTGTGCCTAGGGCCCACTACTTCGAAAAAAAAATTCCTGCCCGAAGCGCGCTCATCCCGAGTCGCGCCTCGGGCTATTACCTCGACGAGCCGCCCTAGCGGCCCTCCCTCCCCTAGCGGCCCCGCCGCCCTACTGTCGCGGCCCCGCCGCCTTGCTTTCGCGGCCCCGCCGCCCTACTGTCGCGGCCCCGCCGCCCTACTGTCGCGGCCCCGCCGCCCTGCTTTAGCGGCCCCGCCGCTCTACTGTCGCGGCCCCGCCGCCCTACTGTCGCGGCCCCGCCGCTCTGCTTTAGCGGCCCCGCCGCAGTACTGTCGCGGCCTCGCCACCCTACTGTCGCGGCCCCGCCGCCCCACTTCGCGGCCCCGCCACCCTACTCTCGCGGCCCCGCCGCCCTTCTGCTGTCGCGGCCCCGCCGCCCCACTGTCGCGGCCCCACCGCCCTACTATCGCGGCCCCGCCGCCCTGCTTTAGCGGCCCCGCCGCCCTACTGTCGCGGCCTCGCCGCCCTACTGTCGCAGCCCCGCCGCCCCTCTTCGCGGCCCCGCCGCCCTACTCTACCGGCCCCACCGCCCTACTCTCGCGGCCCCGCCGCCCGTCTGCTGTGGCCCCGCCGCCCTACACCTGCGGCCCCGCCGCCCTACACCTGCGGCCCCGCCGCCCTACTTCACGGGCCCCGCCGCCCTACTCTACCGGCCCCGCCGCCCTCCTATCGCGGCCCCGCCGCCCGTCTGCTGCGGCCCCGCCGCCCTACTTCAACGGGCCCCGCCGCCCATCTGCTACGGCCCCGCCGCTCGAGCCGCCGACCGCCGCACCGTCCTGCAGCTGCACGCCCGAGCCGCCGACCGCCGCGCCGCCCTGCAGCAGCACCACCGAGCCGCCCTGTACCAGAGGAGTCGAGCCGCCCTGCCGCTGAGCCGCGCCGCAGCCGAGCCGCCCGGTCTCCCACTAGCCGAGCAGCTATTCAGCCGCGCCACCCAGCAGCCGAGCCGCCTTCGCAGCCGAGCCGCCGGGCCGCCCTACAGCAAAGACGCCCTAGCAGCCCTGTCCGGTGAGCACAGCACCTCTGTCACTGCGTGCCCTTCCCCCACTGCTTGCACTGCTAGTCTACCGTTGTCATGGCTACCCCTAGTGTCCTCGCTTTTAACGCTGAGGGTCGAGCCATTGACTTTGAGGTCTGGGTCGACGACCTGCAGCTTTTCTTACAGTGCGATAGGGCGGACGGTCTTTCTCTCTTTGACCTCACCTCTGGCGCCTCTCCTGCCCCTGCTGCTGATGCTGACCCCACTGTTCGGTCTCAGTGGGCCACCCGCAATGCTGCTGCACGTCTTGTTGTGCATCGCCACCTGCCTACCACTGAGCGCGCGCACTTTAGTCAGTACAAGAGTGCTCACACCTTGTACGACGCTGTAGTTGCGCGCTACTCTTCCCCTGCCACTGCTGCACTGAGCCGCCTTATGCTACCGTTCCTTTTCCCTGACCTTGCTGCCTTTCCCACAGTCACTGACCTCCTTACGCACCTCCGCACTAGTAACACTCGCTACCGCGCCGCGCTTCCTGCTGAGTTCTGTGCCAAGAACCCCCCCCCCTTGTACATCACTCTCTATTACATAGTCACCCGCCTCCCTGACTCCCTTCGCGTAGTCAGGGACCACTTCCTCTCAGTCTGTGCCACCACTCTCACTGTTGACCTCCTCGAGAAGGCCCTCCTAGCAGCGGAAAAGAGCATAGTCGTTGTAGGAGCCTCTCGTGATGACCCTCGCACCCCCATCTTTGAGGGGTGTTCCCCTTCCCCCCTGTTGCCCTCTGTTGCCTCTGCTGTTGCGGCGGACCTTCTTCGTCTTGAGTCGGTCGGTGCGGGGTTTGCCCCTAGCGGGAGATGCCGCTCTAGCAAGGGCAAGGGGGGCAAGGGCGCGGGTGGGACTGGAGGGGGCGGTGGAGGTGGCAGTGGAGGCGGCGAAGGGAGTGGGGGTGGCGGTGGGAGTGGTGGCGGAGGTGGTGGTGGTGGTGGCGGCAGCGGAGGCGGAGGCGGCGGAGGCGGTAGCGGTGGGAGCGGAGGCGGCGGAGGCCATAGCGGTGGGAGCGGAGGCGGTGGCGGTGACGGGGGTGTAGGCGGTGGTGGCGGAGGAGGTGGAGCTGGTCGGGGTGGTGCCTCGCAGTAGAGCGGCTCTGGTGGTGGTCAGTGCCAGCAGCAGCAGCAACAGCGTTCTCGGGACATCCCCCCTCCTCAGCAACTCCGTGAGTGGTACACGCATCGTCAGGGTGGTGGGGGTTTTGGTCCGTGCACCTACGTCCTTCGCTCCGGCGACCGCGCGGGTGAGCAGTGTGGGGGTGCCCACCCCACCCAACGTTGCTTTGGCCGCCTGACGGATGCTTGGCGTCAGCAGTTCCCTGAGGCTAGTGAGATCCCCCGCTGGGGAGAGCTGTCTAGGGCTGGTGTAGCAATTCTTGATCTTGACTTTGATGCTATCTTTGCTGCCATTTATGCTGTGACTATTAGTGATGAGGGTGACTGTTACCGGTGTTTCCCGCCTGACCCGGGCATTGGTACTGCTGCGCTAGGTGCTAGTGAGGCTGCTGCTCTAGGTGCCGACGCGTCTGCGCTCTTAGGTACTGGTGAGGCTGCGCTCTGAGGTACTGCGTCGGCTTCGGCCTCCCTCACCTTCACACTTGACTCAGGGGCTTCTCGCTCCTTCTTTCGAGACCGCACCACACTCACGCCGCTTGGTCGGCCGGTTGCAGTCTCCCTGGCAGACCCCTCTGGGGTTCCTGTACTCTCTCACTTCTCCACGGTCCTTCCGTGTCCGGCTGCCCCCTCTGGCACCTTGTCTAGTCTTTACCTCCCCTCGTTCTTGACAAACTTGGTGAGTGGTGCTGACCTGCAGGATGCGGGGGTTCACCAGTTTACTCCTGCGAGTCAGCGGGTGACCCACTGCTCGGACGCCCGCACTGGCCGACACCTGGCCACGTTTTCACGTCGGCCGGGTTCGAGCCTCTACACCCTGACCACTGAGTCTCTTCCTGTCCCTGCGTCTGGCCAGGTAGCTGCGTCAGGTCAGGTGTTTGCTGCTGCGTCCAGGTCTGGTCCTGAGTCTGCCCCCTGCTCGTGTCGCCTCCTGTCTCATGAGACTCTCCTGTGGCACCACCGTCTTGGCCACCCCTCCCTGCCTCGTCTTCGGGGCATGGCTTCCCGTGTCCTTGTCTCTGGTCTTCCCCAGTCCCTCCCTCCCCTTCCTTCAGGGCCTGGTACTTCTTGTGTCCCCTGTGTCGAGGGGCACCTCCGGGCTGCCCCTCACTCCTCTCAGTTTCCCCCGACAGAGGCTCCACTGCAGACGCTTCACATGGACGTGTGGGGCCCGGCCCGCGTCCGTGGACAGGGTCACGAGCGCTACTTCCTGCTGGTGGTTGACGACTACTCGCGTTACACCACAGTCTTCCCCTTGCCCAGCAAGGGTGATGTCACTAAGGTGTTGCTCGACTGGATCCGCGCAGCTCGTCTCCAGCTCAAGAGGAGCTTCGGCTCGGACTTTCCTGTTCTGCGTCTGCACTCTGACCGAGGTGGAGAGTTCTCCTCTGGCCTTCTGCGAGCCTACTATCGTGAACGAGGCATCCGCCACACCTTTACGCTTCCGGACTCTCCACAGCAAAATGGGATTGCTGAGCGCCGCATTGGCATGGTCATGGACGTCGCTCGTACGTCCATGATGCATGCGGCTGCCCCCCATTTTCTGAGGCCGTTTGCGGTTCGGTACGCGGCGCATCAGATCAACCTTCACCCTAGGGTCTCCCGACCGGAGACCTCCCCAGCTCTACTGTGGACGGGGAACGTCGGCGATGCGTCTGCGTTCCGTGTCTGGGGATCTCGGGCGTTTGTCCGTGACTTGTCTGCGGACAAGCTGTCCCCTCGTGCTGCTCCCTGTGTCTTCCTTGGCTTCCCCCCTAACGCACCAGGGTGGCAGTTCTACCACCCCTCCTCTCGTCGTGTTCTGTCCTCCCAGGACGTCACGTTCGACGAGTCAGTCCCCTTCTACCGCCTCTTCCCCTACCGCACTCCTTCTCTCCCCCCTCCACCACACTTTCTTGTGCCAGGTCCCCTCCCGGTAGACCCCCTTCCCCCTCAGGGTCCTGCCCCTTCAGGTGTGTCCCAGGTAGACGAAGTCGAGCCGGTCGAGGTTGCTGGTGACTCTAGTACTGCTGCGGGTGCTGAGCCTGGGGGTGCTGACTCTGGGGGTGCTGCGCGCGTGGGTACTGAGCCTGGGGGTGCTGAGTCTTGGGGTACTGCGATTGGGGGTGCTGAGCCTAGGGGTACTGCGACTGGGGGTGCTGAGCCTGGGGGTGCTGAGCCTGGGGGTGCTGAGCCTGGGGGTACTACGACTGGGGGTGCTGAGCCAAGGGGTGCTGAGCCTGGCGGTGCTGCGTCTGGAGCTGCTGAGCCTGGAGGTGCAAAGCCTGCGGCCGCTAGACCTATCCTTGTGGTATCTGGCGGAGCTGGGCCTGGAGGTTCTTCTGGTGCTTCGTCTCGGCGGGAGCCGCTCTCTCTACAGGAGCTGCGCGAGTGGTTTGCTCGCCGCTGGAGGCGTACTACTGGAGCTGGAGCTTCTTCGGCCGCCGGTCCCGGAGCTACTGGGCCTGCGGGTCCGCCTGGAGCTGGAGCTGCTGAGGGTGTTGGTTCTGCGACTACTACTGTCCGTCCTGGCGGTGGTCCTGCTGCGGGTGCTGCTGGTGCTACTGGAGGTCCTGCCGCTGGAGGTGCTGTTGGCGCTGGTGCTGCCGGAGGTGCTGAGGGTGCTGGTGCTGTCCCTGATGTGTCTGGAGCCGCCGCGCGGCCTTGGCCATACTTTGCTCCGCTCCTTCAGCAGGTTCTTGCTCCTTCTCCTCCTGTAGAGTGTCCACCGCCTGTCCAGTCACAGTCACAGTTAGAGCCCGCCTCCCCACTGCCTGCTCCCTCTCCTTACACTAGTCCTACTGGAGGTCTTACTGAGCGTCGTGAGCCTGCGTCTCGTCCCGCGTCGCCTGTTCGTTCTTCTCTCGCTAGTGGTCGTGGTTCGCGTCAGCGTCCTCCTCCTGTCCCTGGCATGCACCGGATGTCTCTGCGTCCGTCCACTGCTCCTCTGCGTGCCCCTTTGCCTTCTCCTCCTGAGTCCTCTCTTCCTGCGCTTGCCGACCCGGAGTGGAACTCCCTTCGTGCTGCCAGTCCTACTGTCACGCGTCTCCTTGCCACTGTCGTCACTGACCCCTCTTTTGAGTCCACTGCTGCGTCTGCTCTTGTTGCTAAGCTCGTCGACTTTGCTGCTCGCTTTCGTCTCGACTACGCTACTAGTCTTGTTGCTGAGTCTGCGTCTGTCTGTCCTCCGTCCGTCGGGGGTGAGTGTGCTCTTGGCACGGACGTCCTTAAGGACAGGCAGGAGGAGTTCCAGTGTCTGGCTACTGCATCACCTCATCTCGCGTTCGTACTACTTGCCCCTGAGGGAGACCCGGATGCACTAAACATCCCGACTCCGCGCTCTTACGCGGAGGCCGTAGAGGGTCCCTACTCCTCTCAGTGGAAGGGAGCTATGGATGCAGAGATGGCTTCCTGGAAGTCCACAGGCACCTACGTTGACTCGGTTCCCCCTCCTGGGGCGAACATCGTCAGTGGCATGTGGATCTTCAGGGTGAAGCGGCCGCCGGGCTCTCTACCTGTCTTCAAGGCGCAGTACATCGCTCGTGGCCTCAGTCAGCGGCAGGGAGTTGACTACTTTCAGACCTTCTCTCCCACCCCGAAGATGACCACTCTTCAGGTACTGCTGCACATAAACGCTCAGCGCGACTACGAGCTCCACTCTCTTGACTTCAGCACTGCTTTCTTGCAGGGTAGCCTGCACGAGGAGATCTGGCTGCGCCGTCCACCTAGCTTCACTGGGACTTTCCCTCCTGGCACCTAGTGGAGCCTCCGACGGCCACTCTACGGTCTCCGCCAGGCACCGCGTGAGTGGCACGACACACTGAGGACTACGCTTGCGGCTCTTGGGTTTGCTCCCTCTACTGCTGACCCGTCGTTGTTTCTGTGCACCGACACTTCTCTGCCGCCGTTCTACATCCTCGTGTACGTCGACGACTTGGTCTTTGCCACTGCTGACACTGCTGGACTCGCCTACGTGAAGTCCGAGCTGCAGAAGAGACACACGTGCACAGACCTGGGTGAACTGCGCAGCTACCTTGGCTTGCAGATCACTCGGGACAGAGCACGCCGCACCATTACGTTGACTTAGTCACACATGGTGCAGCAGGTCCTTCACCGCTTCGGCTTCACGTACTCCTCGCCTCAGGCCACTCCTCTGTCTACTCGCCACTCGCTCTCAGCTCTGCCTTCGGATGAGTCCGTAGAGTCGAGTGGCCCGTACCTAGAGCTTGTTGGCTGCCTCATGTACCTGATGACCTGCACACGACCTGACCTTGCATACCCTCTTAGCATTCTTGCACGCTATGTTGCTCCTAGGAGACACCGACCAGAGCACATGGCTGCTGCGAAGAGGGTGTTGCGCTACTTGTGCAGTACGTCGGGCATGGGGCTAGTGCTTGGAGGGCGGAGTCCAGTGGTCCTCACTGGGCACGCGGACGCTTCTTGGGCTGACGACCAGGCTACTCAGCGGTCGTCACAGGGTTACACCTTGAGTCTTGGCTCCGGCTCTGTTTCGTGGCGGGCTACTGGCTCGTCTTCTGTTCTCGGCTCCAGTTGTCAGGCTGAGATCTACGCCGGGGCCATGGCTGCTCAGGAGCTTCGCTGGCTCACCTACCTGCTGAGTGACCTTGGAGAGCCGCCTCGTTCTCCTCCAGTGCTGTACGTAGACAACAAGGCCATGCTGACCTTTTGTCGAGAGCAGCGCGTGGAGCACAGAACGAAGCATATTGCTCTCCGCTACTTTCTTGCTCGTGAGCTGCAGCAGCGTGGTCAGTTGCGACTTGCGTACGTGGCCTCTGAGGCCAACACTGCTGATGTTTTCACCAAGGCACTTCCGCCTTGTGATCATCAGCGCTTCTGCACTCAGCTGGGACTTGTACCTGTCTTACCTCACTTGCTCACCTCTTGATCTTACTTGTACTCTTGCATATATATATACCGGCTCTTGCTTGTTTAGTGTTATATATATATATATGTGCACTCCTGCATGTGAACTGGCCTTGTGGCCTTGACTTTGTGCTCGGACTGTGTGGTGACTTTGTGATCCACCCTGAGCTTGCTTTGCTTTGCTTTGCTTGACTGGTCTTGTGACCCCTTGTTCTCCCCCACTTTGCCTATGGGGGTGTGTCAGAACATATAGCTTTTGCATATTGTGTAGGCTATAGTGGGGTAGCCCATATGGGGTACAACCCAATTAGGGTGAGTACTTGTACTCACTTCATTCATAGTTCATTCATTCTTGCTCAACTTTTCTCAACAAAAACAACATAACACCCAGAATTTGAATTCACGATACAATAACATAACAATGAACCTAATTCATCTGTTAAGTACAATCGCTATTTTTCCTACAACTGTCAGACAACTCCCAACTCTATCGCGACGCACAGCTTCGGAATAACACACCCACCCTGTTTGTGATTGATTTCTGATTGTGAATGGCAAGAACCACCCACTTACTGCCACGTCTGCAAATTGTGCTCAACTTCCGAAGTTGAGCACCGAACGTTTTGAGAGACCCAACACGTGGCTTCGTCAAACATGGCCCATTCAACTACAGATCACTTCCCTAAACTACACTACCCCGTCGATCGACTATAATTCGCCACCACGCTGCCCCAACCAGCCGATTAACGGTCATTCACGACATGAACTCCAACCTAGAAATCGAAGCCGACACCCCACCACGCGGCATCCGGCGGTATCACATTTTTATGATGGCAGGAACACGGGCCGCGTGCGGGCCAGGCGCGGGCTGTAAGGGCTGCGGGCGGGCCTAGCGCGGGCTTTACGAGCTGGGTGCGGGCCTGAAGTGGGCGGTACGGGCTGCGCTACGGCCTGGCGCGGGCTGTACGTGCTTCGTGACGGGCCTACGCGGGCTGTACTGGCAGCTAGGGCACGGTCAGGGGGCGTCGTACGTGACTAGGAAGGAAAATCGCGTCTAGGGCAGAAAAAGGAACCGTCTCGCCTAGAGCACGGTTTTGAATTTTGCGTTTCTCCTAGGTGTTGGGAACAAATAAGTTAAGCGCCTCTGTCGTGTCAGAATTCAAGACACAAAACGAAGCAGCTCAAGTCGAAGCATCGCGAGTCAACCAAGGTGGTTGACGTAACCGTCGGAGGTTACGGGAAAGTCAAAGGTCAGCGACCTTTGACCTGACACAGCGTGACAGCAAGGACAAACAACTGACTCGACATTGAGCAGTTGCCCGAGTCGCACTGTATCGAACCGCAACAGTAAAATTAGTTTTAATGTCTCTTCATATTCTCTGTACTCATCTATTTATATTCTTGTATCTCTTTGCTTTAATCAACTTACTTTGCCCTCACATACCAGCGCAAGGTGGTTCAAAGACTTCATTCATCGCTTCCGCTATTACAACATCTACTCAGACTTTAACTCTACAAAGATCCTAGGGCGTCTCAGCCCAACATGGTATGAGAGCAGTTAGAGTTAAAATTCATTATTCAACACTCAGTATATCAAGAAGACATGTCTACTAGAAAGGAGAGGAGCTCCTCCAACGGCTCTCCCGGTACTACTCCTACTCCACCTCCTGCCTCTGGCCTACAGACAGAGGAGGGGACAACGACGAGACCAGCAGCTGGGTCCACGGAAACACCCGCAAATCAAGGCGCGGGCTTCGATCCAAGCATGATGGAGAAATTTTTCTCCTTCATGTCCTTCTACGAGCAGCACCAGCAAGGAGCACCTGCGCAATCAAACAACAGCAACGACAACAACAACAACGTGACACCTATGAGTCTCGATGGCTCATCTTACGCGCGCGGGAATCAACATCAACAACCTACCTTTGCTCCGTACGAGCCCCAGCGTGGCTCCGTCAGCTTTATGCTGCAACCACAACCTGCACCGGGACAAGAGAGAGCACTGGACGCATTACAAGTTCAGTCGCAATTCGCGCACGTTTTAAAACTGCAAACGACAAAGCCCTTTGACGGAAAAGACTTCTTCACCTGGTCTTTCGAATTCGAGCTAATGATGGAAGGAGCGCAGATCCTTGGCTTCTTCGACGGGTCCCTGCCATATCCAACAAACGGCACACAATATGAGAAGCAGCAGTATACTTATCAATCGATGATGGCGTACACTATACTACTGAGGAACATCACCCCGACTTAACAGCAGAACATCAGGCCTTACCGAGGCTACGGCAACTCCGCGGAGCTCGCGTACAACCACTTGAAGAACCTGTATCAAGCAACAGACAGTGTAAACCAAAGCCGGTTAATGGCACAGCTGACAACAATCGAAATGAAACCAGGCGAGAAAGGCATGGAGTATATCAGTCGCTGCCGCGAGCTACGCGACAGGCTCCTTCGATGTGGAGGTTCAATTTCAGAAGACGCCTTCGTCACGGTCGTCATCGGCGGTCTCGGCCCTCACTGGCGCTCCACTCGCGCCATACTACGAGCACACGGAAGAATCTCCGAAGCAGCACTCTGCGCCGAAATCCATGCCGAGCGGCAGGACATGGACCTGCAAGAAGAACGACATAAGAAGAAAGCATCAGTACCAGAATTCGCCTTTCACACCCAGCGACGCTACAACAACAGCAGCAATCGACAACAACAACAACCGAAACCAGTACCTCCATTTTGCCATATCTGCAAGACTTCAGGGCATCCTCGCACGCACTGCCCGTATCGCCATCAACCAACAACACCACAGCGTCAACTCCGCCCTTCGAGCAGCCAAGTCACCTCGACGCAAGCAGCTCCAACAACTTCAGTCCAAGCTTCAACGACTTCAACAGGACAACCTGCGCAAAAACCAAGAAATATCGTAAACTGCATGGTCAAGATAACCGACTCCTGCACAACCGAGTCACTGTCAGAACATTATAGCTTATGCTGTTGTGTAGGCTATAGTGGGGTATCCCATTGGGGGAACAACCCAATTAGAGTTTCCTATATGTACTCACTTCATTCATAGTTCATTCATTCACGTTCTCATCTTCACATGGAATCAGAGCAGGTCCCCTCCTAGGGAGTGTTTCTAGGGCCCACCGAAGCGCGCCCCGAGGCGCGCTTTCTTTTTTAACGACCCTTCGTGTCGCCCTTCCCCTCGCGGCCTCGCCGCCCTTCCCTGCGGCCCCGCCGCCCCTCTCTCGCGGCCCCGCCGCCCTTACGACGCGGCCCCGCCGCCCTTCTCCACGCGGCCCCGCCGCCCTTCAGTCGCGGCCCCGCCGCCCTTCACTCGCGGCCCCGCTGCCCTCTCGACGCGGCCCCGCCGCCCTCTTGTCGCGGCCCCGCCGCCCTCTCGACGCGGCCTCGCCGCCCTCTTGACGCGGCCCCGCCGCCCTTCAGTCGCGGCCCCGCCGCCCTCTCGACGCGGCCCCGCCGCCCTCTCGACGCGGCCCCGCCGCCCTTCAGTCGCGGCCCCGCCGCCCTCTCGACGCGGCCCCGCCGCCCTCTCGACGCGGCCCCGCCGCCCTCTTGACGCGGCCCCGCCGCCCTTCAGTTGCGGCCCCGCCGCACCGACGTAGCGGCCCCGCCGCCCTCTTGACGCGGCCCCGCCGCCCTTCAGTCGCGGCCCCGCCGCCCTCTCGACGCGGCCCCGCCGCCCTCTCGACGCGGCCCCGCCGCCCTCTTGACGCGGCCCCGCCGCCCTTCAGTTGCGGCCCCGCCGCACCCACGTAGCGGCCCCGCCGCCCTCTCGACGCGGCCCCGCCGCCCTCTCGACGCGGCCCCGCCGCCCTCTCTACGCGGCCCCCGCCCTCTCTACGCGGCCCCGCCGCCCTACCTACGCGGCCCCGCCGCCCTTGCGTCGCCGCCCAGCACCGGCCGAGCCGCCCAGCAGCAGCCGTGCCGCCCAGCAGCAGCCGAGCCGCCCAGCATCAGCCGAGCCGCCCAGCAGCAGCCGAGCCACCCAGCAGCAGCCAGGCCGCCCAGCATCAGTCGAGCCGCCCAGCAGCAGCCAAGCCGCCCAGGAGCAGCCGAGCCGCCCAGGAGCCGCCGAGCCGCCCAGCAGCAGCCGAGCCGCCCAGCAGCTGCCGAGCCGCCCAGGAGCCGCCGAGCCGCCCTACTACCGGGTCGCCCGGCCTGCCCTGTCTGGTGAGCACGGCACCGCCCCACTGCTACTGCGTCCCCTTCCCCACTGCTTGCACTGCTAGTCTGTCGTCATGGCTACCCCCAGTGTCCTCGCTTTTGACGCTGAGGGTCGAGCCATTGACTTTGAGGTCTGGGTCGACGACCTGCAGCTGTATTTACAGTGCGATAGGGCAGACGGTCTTTCTCTCTTTGACCTCACCTCTGGCGCCTCTCCTGCTCCTGCTGCTGATGCTGACCCCACTGTTCGCTCTCAGTGGGCCACCCGCAATGCTGCTGCACGTCTTGCTGTGCGTCGCCACCTCCCTACCACTGAGCGCGCGCACTTTAGTCAGTACAAGAGTGCTCAGACCTTGTACGACGCTGTAGTTGCGCGCTACTCTTCCCCTGCCACTGCTGCACTGAGCCGTCTCATGCTACCGTACCTCTTTCCTGATCTCACTGCCTTTCCCACTGTCGCTGACCTCATTACGCACCTCCGCACTAGTGACACTCGCTACCGCGCCGCCCTTCCTGCTGAGTTCTGCGCCAAGAACCCCCCCCCCATGTACATCGCTCTCTATTACATAGTCACTCGCCTCCCTAACTCCCTTCGCGTATACAGGGACCACTTCCTCTCAGTCTTTCCCACCACTCTCACTGTTGATCTCCTTGAGAAGGCCCTCCTAGCGGCAGAGAAGAGCATAGTCGCTGTAGGAGCCTCCCGTGGAGACCCGCGCACCCCCATCTTTGAGGGGTGTTCTCCTTCCCCCCTGCTGCCCTCTGTTGCCTCTACCGCTGCTGCCGACCTGTTTGGTCTTGAGTCGGTCGGCGCGGCATCTGCCCCTAGCGGGAGACGCCGCCCTGGCAAGGGCAAGGGGGGCAAGGGCGCGGGTGGAGCTGGCGGTGGCGTTGGAGGTGGCGGTGGAGGCGGCGGAGGGAGTGGGGGTGGCGGTGGGAGTGGTGGCGGGAGTGGTGGCGGTGGCGGCGGCAGCGGCGGCGGAGGTGGTGGCGGCGGAGGCGGTGGGAGCGGAGGCGGTGGTGGTGGCGGAGGTGGAGGCGGTGGTGGCGGAGGAGGTGGAGCTGGTCGGGGTAGTGCCCCGCAGCGGAGCGGCTGTGGTGGTGGTCCGCGGCAGCAGCAGCAGCAGCAGCAGCGTTCTCGGGACGTCCCCACGCCTCTGCAGCTCCGTGAGTGGTACACGCAGAGTCAGCGTGGTGGAGGCTTTAGCCCGTGCACCTACGTTTGTCGCAGCGGCGACCGCGCGGGTGAGCAATGTGGGGGTGCCCACTCCACCCGGCGCTGCTTTGGCCGCCTGACGGACGCGTGGCGTCAGCAGTTCCTTGACGCTTCTAAGATCCCCCGCTGGGGAGAGCTGTCTAGAGCTGGTGTAGCGATCTTTGAGCTAGACTTTGATGCTATCCTTGCTGCCATGTATGCTGTGTCTATTAGTGATGAGGGTGACTGTTACCGGTGTTTCCTGCCCGACCCGGGCATTGGTACGGCTGCGCTAGGTGCTTGTGACACTGCTGCGCTCTCAGGTGCTGGTGAGGCTTCGCTCTCAGGTACTGGTGAGGCTGCGCTCTCAGGTACTGGTGAGGCTGCGCTCTCAGGTACCGCGTCGGCTTCAGCCTCCCTCACCTTTACTCTTGACTCTGGGGCTTCTCGCTCCTTCTTTCAGGACCGCACCACACTCACGCCGCTTGGCCGGCCGGTTGCGGTCTCCCTGGCTGACCCCTCTGGGGGTCCTGTCCTCTCTCACTTCTCCACTGTCCTACCGTGTCCAGCTGCCCCCTCGGGCACCCTGTCTGGTCTGTACCTCCCATCGTTCTTGACGAACTTGGTGAGTGGGGCTGCCCTACAGGATGCGGGGGTTCACCAGTTTATGTTAGAGATTAAGGATCGAGTCTGTGAAGATTAGGAGCCTAAATTTCTCAAAATCGTTGGCTTAGAATTCTGGACAGAAACCGCGAATTCACAAGAAACGTTGTCGACGAAAAGTGCACTGTTAAAACTTCACTAAACTCAGATATGTTGTAGCTATAGTCTGTGGCTACAATTCTCAATTTGAATCGCATCCAAAGGTGAAGTATTTCTTGACTTATGAATTTCGGCGCACAGGGGGGTATGCTGCCATAGAATCTTAACTCAATCACAAGAGTCTCACACAAGTTCACAATTCCACACAAGGAAGTTAAAGTAGCACTAAACCACGTGGGATGGGATGAGGAGGACGAGAGGGAAGGTCCCAAGAGAGTCCCCAACCAAGGAAACCCCATGCCACACAATTCCCCTCTCCATAGGCAACCCCACTTTCACTTCTGTCACTTTCCCAACCCATGCCATCCACCTTAACCCAACTTGGCCACACTTGCCAACCTGGTTTGGTTTCTCCCAACCACTTGGCAGCATCTACAGTGATGTTGACGAATTTCCCAACCCCCAAAAGTCTGTACCCCATATTGAGTCAACCCCACAACTTCCCATAGTCACCACAACCAAATATCAAAAGCATACGAACTCCAACGTTCGTAACTTTCTTGTTCGTGCTCCGATTGAAGCGACACTTGGTTCGTCGGAAAGCTCTTGAGCAGAGGAGTCACTTCAGATATCTGCTCAAGCCAAATAACATTCACACACACTCAGAAAAACCAAACCGCACAAAACACAAATTCTTGCACACGCTCACACCACGCATGCAACGCACGAACATATGATGGGAGGTAGACAGACGTGAATGCAAATGATAGCATCACATAACAGTTTACTCCTGCGAGTCAGCGGGTGACCCACTGCACGGACGCGCGCACAGGTCGGCACCTGGCCACGTTCTCCCGTCGGCCGGGGTCGAGCCTCTACACCCTGACCCCTGAGTCTCCTCCTGTCCTTGTGTCTGGCCAGGTAGCTGCGTCGGGTCAGGTGCTTGCTGCTGCGTCCAGGTCTGGTCCTGAGTCTGCCCCCTGCTCGTGTCGTCTCCTGTCTCACGAGACTCTCCTGTGGCACCACCGTCTTGGCCACCCCTCCTTGCCCCGTCTCAGGGACATGGCTTCCCGTGTCCTTGTCTCTGGTCTTCCCCGGTCTCTCCCTCCCCTTCCTTCGGGGCCAGGACCTTCCTGTGTCCCTTGTGTCGAGGGGCGCCTCCGGGCTGCCCCCCACTCCTCACAGTTTCCTCCGACAGAGGCTCCTCCGCAGACGCTTCACATGGACGTGTGGGGCCCGGCCCGCGTCCGTGGACAGGGTCACGAGCGCTACTTTCTGCTGGTGGTTGACGACTACTCGCGTTTCACCACAGTCTTCCCCTTGCGCAGCAAGGGTGATGTCACTGAGGTGTTGATCGACTGGATCCGCGCAGCTCGTCTCCAGCTCAGGAGGAGCTTCGGCTCAGACTTTCCTGTTCTGCGTCTGCACTCTGACCGAGGCGGAGAGTTTTCCTCTGGCCTTCTGCGAGCCTACTGTCGTGCACAGGGCATCCGCCACTCCTTTACGCTTCCGGACTCTCCACAGCAAAATGGGACTCGCTCCGCATTGGCATGGTCATGGACGTCGCTCGTACGTCCATGATGCATGCGGCTGCCCCCCATTTTCTGTGGCCGTTTGCGGTACGGTACGCGGCGCATCAGATCAACCTTCACCCCGGGGTTTCCCGGCCGGGGAAGGTCCGTACCTCCCCGGCCCTCCTGTGGACTGGGACGGTCGGCGATGCGTCTGCGTTCCGTGTCTGGGGATCTCGGTCGTTTGTCCGCGACTTGTCTGCGGACAAGTTGTCCCCTCGTGCTGCTCCCTGTGTCTTCCTTGGCTTCCCCCCTGACGCTCCAGGGTGGCAGTTCTACCACCCCTCCTCTCGTCGTGTTCTGTCCTCCCAGGACGTCACGTTCGACGAGTCAGTCCCCTTCTACCTCCTCTTCCCCTACCGCACTCCTTCCCTCCCCAAGCCACCGGACTTCCTTCTGCCAGGTCCCCCCCCGGTAGATCCCCTCCCCCCTCAGGTTCCTGCCCCTTCAGGTGTGTCCCTGGTTGACGCAGTCGAGCCGGTCGAGGTTGCTGGTGACTCTGGTACTGCTGCGGGTGCTGAGCCTAGGGGTTCTGACTCTGGGGGTGTCGTGCACGTGGGTGCTGAGCCTGGGGGTGCTGAGTCTGGGGGTGCTGCGACTGGGGGTGCTGCGCCTGGGGGTGCTGAGCCTGGGGGTGCTGCGTCTGGAGCTGCTGAGCCTGGGGGTGCTGAGTCTGGGGGTGCTACGTCTGGAGCTGCTGAGCCTGGTGGTGCTGCGTCTGGGGGTGCTGTGCGCGTGGGTGCTGAGCCTGGGGGTGACGAGCCTGGGGTTGCTGAGTCTGGGGGTGCTGCGCCAGAGGGTGTTGAGCCTGGAGGTGCTGCGTCTGGAGCTGCTGCGCCGGGAGGTGCGGAGCCTACGGCCACTGGACCTCCCCTTGTGGCGTCTGGCGGTGCTGGGCCTGGAGGTTCTCCGGGTGCTCCATCTTGGCGGGAGCCCCTCTCTCCACAAGAGCTGCGCGAGTGGTTTGCTCGCCACTGGAGGCGTACTGCTGGAGCTGAAGCTTCTTCGGCCGCTGAGGGTGCTGGTGCCGCCGGTTCTGGAGCTGCTTGGCCTTCGGGTCCGACTGGAGCTGGAGCTGCTGAGGGTGTTGGTGCTGAGACTGCTGCTCTCTGTCCTGGCGGTGGTCCTGCTGCTGGTGCGACTGGAGGTCCTGCCGCTGGAGGTGCTGTTGGCGCTGGTGCTGCCACTGCGGGTGCCAGTGTTGTCCCTGCTGTGCCTAGAGTCCCCGCGCGGCCTCAGCCGTACTTCGTTCCGCTCCTGCAGCAGGTTCTTGGTCTTCCTCCTTCTGTAGAGTGTCTGCCGTCTGTCCAGTCGCAGTCACTGTTAGAGCCGGCCTCCCCACTGCCTGCTCCCTCTCCTTACACTGGTCCTATTGGAGGTCTCGCTGAGCGTCGTGAGCCTGCGTCTCGTCCCGCGTTGCCTGTTCGTGCTGCTCGCGCTAGTGGTCGCGGTTCGCGTCAGCGTCCTCCTCCTGTCCCTGGCACGCACCGGATGTCTCTGCGTCCGTCCACTGCTCCTCTGCGTGCCCCGTTGCCTTCTCCTCCTGAGTCCTCTCTTCCTGCGCTTTCCAACCCGGAGTCGGACTCTCTTCGTGCTGCCAGTCCTACTGTCATGCGTCTTCTTGCTACTGTTGTCACTGACCCCTCTTTTGAGTCCACTGCTGCGTCTGCTCTTGTCGCTGAGCTCGTCGACTTTGCTGCTCGCTGTCGTCTAGACTACGCTGCTAGTCTTGTTGCTGAGTCTGCGTCTGTCTGTCCTCCATCCGTCGGGGGTGAGTGTGCTCTTGGCACGGACGTCCTTAAGGACAGGCAGGAGGAGTTTCAGTGTCTGGCTGCTGCTTCACCTCATCTCGCGTCTGTACTGCTTGCCCCTGAGGGAGACCCGGATGCACTAGACATCCCGACTCCGCGCTCTTACGCGGAGGCCGTAGAGGGTCCCTACTCCTCTCTGTGGCAGGCAGTTATGGATGCAGAGATGGCTTCCTGGAAGTCCACAGGCACCTACGTTGACGCGGTTCCCCCTCCTGGGGCGAACATCATCAGTGGCATGTGGATCTTCAGGGTGAAGCGGCCGCCGGGCTCTCCACCTGTCTTCAAGGCGCGGTACGTCGCTCGTGGCTTCTGTCAGCGGCAGGGAGTTGACTACTTTCAGACCTTCTCTCCCACCCCGAAGATGACCACTCTTCGGGTGCTGCTACACATAGCCGCTCAGCGCGACTACGAGCTTCACTCTCTTGACTTCAGCACTGCGTTCTTGCAGGGTAGCCTGCACGAGGAGATCTGGCTGCGCCGTCCACCTAGCTTCACTGGGACTTTCCCTCCTGGCACCCAGTGGAGCCTCCGACGGCCAGTCTACGGTCTCCGCCAGGCACCGCGTGAGTGGCACGACACACTGAGGACTACGCTTGCGGCTCTTGGGTTTGCTCCTTCTACTGCTGACCCGTCGCTGTTTCTTCGCACCGACACTTCCCTGCCGCCGTTCTACATCCTCGTGTACGTCGACGACTTGGTCTTTGCCACAGCGGACACTGCTGGACTCGCCTACGTGAAGTCCGAGCTGCTGAAGAGACACACGTGCACAGACCTGGGTGAACTGCGCAGCTACCTTGGCTTGCAGATCACTCGGGACAGAGCACGCCGCACCATTACCTTGACTCAGTCACACATGGTGCAGCAGGTCCTTCAGCGCTTCGGCTTCACGTACTCCTCGCCTCAGGCCACTCCTCTGGCTACTCGCCACTCGCTCTCAGCTCTACCTTCGGATGAGTCCGTAGAGTCGAGTGGCCCGTACCCAGAGCTTGTTGGCTGCCTCATGTACCTGATGACCTGCACACGACCTGACCTTGCATACCCTCTTAGCATTCTTGTACGCTATGTTGCTCCTGGGAGACACCGACCAGAGCACATGGCTGCAGCGAAGAGGGTGTTGCGCTACTTGTGCAGTACGTCGGGCATGGGGCTAGTGCTTGGAGGGAGGAGTCCAGTGGTCCTCACTGGTTACGCGGACGCTTCTTGGGCTGACGACCAGGCTACGCAGCGGTCGTCGCAGGGGTACACCTTCAGTCTTGGTTCTAGCTCTGTCTCTTGGCGGGCTACTCGCTCGTCTTCTGTTCTCGGCTCTAGTTGTCAGGCTGAGATCTACGCCGGGGCCATGGCTGCACAGGAGCTTCGCTGGCTCACCTTC